GAGACGATTAACGACTTCATCAAGCGCTTTCGAAATAAGGCGATGAATTGTCGAGATCCAATGATATTTTGGAAGTTATGGGAGTATCACCGTCCAACACCTGGAAAGAGTTAAAGGTGCGCGGAGAGCAGGCCGAACGTTTCCTCAGAAGGAAGAAAGCCGAAAAAAGCCAACCGACGGCTAACCATCCGAACTCAAGCTTCGTCTCCCGTGATAAAGGGAAGGCACCTGCAACAGTTGTTGACGTTAATCAGACGTCGCAACAACAACCCCGAAGACAGCAAAAGGCTTCGGATCCGAGACTCCAAAAAGAGTACTCCTTTAAAGACGAAGACGTTCCAGCCATTTTCGAATCCCTCCTTAAGAACAACAAGATCAAGCTACCACCTATCGCAAATCAAGAGGAAACAGACAATACTACGGATCCAAAGTACTGTGCGTACCACAGAAGGATCCTTCATCCTACCAATGCTTCCTTTGCCCTCAAAAATAACATTCAAACCTTGGTTGAAGCTGGCGTCATAACGCTAGATTAGGCCGAATGAACACTCCGAAGAGTATACGAGTATAAATTGCTTCTCCATACCGTCCAACAGGTGCATGAGGTTAAACTGCTCCCTGCATATTCCAACAGGTATACGAATCAAAACTGTTTCCTAATTTTAACGGGAAGTTCCTGGAAGAATATCATATGTGATATTCTTAAGGATAACCTGATCATCCAGCTGAATACAATGTATTCCTCATTAGATCCAGTTTTGTAAAAAAAGCTGGGGGTGGATAACCCATATAACGGGAAGTTCCTGGAGAATGTCATGTCTTGTATTCTTAAGGATAGCCCGGTTACTATAAATGGGGATAAATGAGAAACTCCCACTCGGACTGTGAATGTTTCCAAGGGTGAAACGCATCCCACTTCTAGGATCACTTTCACCAACTCCTTCTGTAATCTTCCAAGCACCATTTTGTTGAGACGAGATTTGATCACTTCTTTGGATCAATCTTCCTTCACGAAACTCCCACGGTACAATTGTGGAGTGTTTGACAATTCATAGTGCTCCACCACAAAATTCCTGACTGATCAAATCAATTGACAGTGAGACCACTAAAGCTCTTTCTGGTCTAAGCCACTCAAACTTCCGATGTGTTTGTGCACTCAACATTCCCATTGTTAGAGTCCGAACATAGTACTTGGAATTTTAATATCCTGATTGTTGACGATTGTCAAACCCCTCCGTGTTAAGTATTTATCACTTAACACCAGGAACCTCATTTGAGTGATTTGTACGAATCAACACTCTCACTGTAATTTGTACACACACTCTCACTGTCCACTCGGTCAAACTTTCCTACAGTTAGGACCACGACCAAAGTCCTCTCGCGATTTTTTTCATAAACGAGAGGTCCACTTTCAAATCGAGCGATCAAACTTATAAAAGTTAGGATTATCTCAAACCCCCACTCGGTCAAACCTGTAAACAGTTAGGGCCAAAATCAGAATTCTCTTTCGATAAACGAAAGGCTTTCACTCTTTCTTTCCCCTTCGGTCAAACCTATAAAAGTTAGGACTGAAATCGAAATTTTATTTTCAGATCAGGTAACCAATCCTATAAAAGTTATAGATTATCTGAATCTATTCGATTCTCAGAGTGGAGATCTCACTCTTAGTTTCACCTACCCGGATTCTCGGTGTGGAGATCCCACTTTGACTTTCCTTTATCACTGAAAATAGAATATAAAATTCTTCCTTTCTAATAACGGGTTTGTGTTTGCCCTAAGAGAAGACATCATCTTTTTAACACCATAATCCGTACCTCACACGTACGAGGAATTTTATCCTGAATTCTAAGTAGGGATAAATCAGCGCCTAACACGCGTTGTCGGTTTAGTCTTTCACCGATTGAAAAAAACACCAGAATCCAAATCTGAGGAATTTTATCTCGAAGTCTAAATAGGGATAAGTTAACGCCTAACACACGTTGTCGATTAGTCCTTGACCATAAAAAGGACAAAAGCTCACATATTCGACATTATGACAGGTTGTTATTAATAACACCATAATCCGTGCCTTACACGCGCGGGGACTTTTATCCCGAATCCTAAGTAGGGATAAGTCAGCGCCTAACACGCGTTGCCGGTTTAGTCTTTCACCGATTGAAGAAGACATCAGAATCTAAGTCTGGAGACTTTTATCCCGAAACATAAGTAGGGATAAGTCAGCGCTTAACACTCGTTGTCGGGTAGTCTATTCCCGTGAGAAAGACGAAGTCTACGTATTCAATATCGTAGTACTAAGAAAGTTAACTCTCTTAGCATAACGTCACATGCAGAACGGACTTAAACAATCCGCATGCAAGTCCGATTCAAACGGTAATCGGTAAAAGCAAGCCAAATCCGTTAAAGGCTGAGGATTTGTCAAAAATCCTAAGTCTACGTCTAATACACGTTGCCGTTTAGTCTTTTCACGGGAGAAAGACGAAGTCTACGTATTCGACATCGTAGCACTAAAAGAGTTAACTCTTTTAGCACAACATTACGTACGGAACAGATTTGAACAATCTACATGCTAGCTCGACTCAAACGGTAGTCGGTAAAGGCTAATCAAACCCATTGATAGCTAAAAATTTACCAAAAATTCTATAAATATGATAATCATTGATGCACCAGCTCCATTAATTGGTCTCGTGACTCAAAGATCTGACAACTTCAGGATAAGATCCATTCATGCAGATAAATCAGCTTTAACAGTTGGTCCATCAGCCCCAACATTTGGGACCGCCACGCTCCAACGCCTTAAGAGCATAAACTGTGTAGACACCGGTCAACGCGTAACCCTAGGTCGATGTCAATCAACGCGTTGCGATGAAAGTCAACGCCGATCGATGTGAAACCCTAAGGTCAACACCGGTCAACGCGAAGCCCTAGGTCGAAGCCAGTCAATGTGTTGCGATGAAAGTCAACGCCGATCGATGTGAAACCCTAAGGTCAACGCCGGTCAACGCGTAGCCCTAGGTTAACGCCGGTCAACGCGTAGTTATGATTCAACGCCGGTCAACGTGTTGCGACAAAAATAATTCAAAGTCAACTCAATGACACGAGCCAAAACCAACTCACCAATTTCAATTCGAGACTTCGACGACGGCCAGACGATAAACACAGCGCCGGAGAAATTTCAGCTATTCGTCAAAATATTGAATAGACCGAAAACCGAAGAAGTCAAGAATCAAAGCTAACTACATGTCCTTTCTCACCGACTGAAGGTTGAACCGATCACATCCAAAGTATTTCAGACCCCTCTATAAAAGAAACGAGACTGAAACACTTTGGAGGGTGTATCTGTAGGCGTTAAAAATTACCTACGGATTTCCGCACGCGGCTCGAGATAGAGAGAAGATGATAAACGTCACTATCCGGATCACAGAAGCTTAATTGATGTCGATAAACGCATGAAGTAAGTCGATGAACCGTGTGAAGCAACGAAACTACAGAATAACGAAGATACGAACTGATTGGGAGCTACGCTCTGCTTACGAAAGACAAAACGCCCCTTGTGTCCCATCTACTCCACATGTGATTCAACCATGGAAGCTTGTAGATCTTCTCGTTGGCTTTCATACGCACTTTGAATAGCACAATTTCGAGTTCGGACGACGGAGATATAGCGAAAACAAACGAGACGCGCAAAACAGTACCCCGGACCTTAACGGAGACACCGCACGTGTCTTGACTGAGGCCGAGACATTGGGTGTCCGCAGGCCCCAAAAATCCGTTTTACGCAGTTTTGAGCCGTTTTTCGACCATTAACCACCTGGATTTGTTCCAACTGATCTAATGTTATCCTAAAACGTGATAAAGTGGTTATAACTGAAGATAAGAGAGAATAAATCATTCTTATCCGAAAACAGAGCTCCTGAAGCCTATAAATACAGCCCTAGGACCTTCATTTACACAAATGTAAAATTCTCGAGCCTTGGCGAAGCCCTGCTGAATCAGAGACAGAGGAGCATGAATTTCAGAGAGGAGAAGGAGATCGGATCAAGTTCTTCGACATAAGGAAGAGGAGTTCGTCAGATTATAGCTCGGTTCCTTCCCTTGAGATTGTACCTAGCTGCGATCTCGAGAAGAGTGGTTATCTCGCTGTTGCCGAGATAATTGCTTCGGTTTCTTGATTCCTTCGCGAATTAACGAAACTCCGGATTGATCTGATCGCTCAGTAGTCCACGGATATTAACGTCCCCGACACAAGCAAAGATCACACGCAAACAGCGAGTGATAAACATCCGTTGTGTTTGTTTTGACGAGTATTGTAATTTTTCGTTTTTATTGTGTAAGAGTCTTATAAAAAGATTATCTTTTTGTTTTCATTGTAACGACTGAAGTCGTAATGAATACCTCAATGAAGAAACCAATTTTCAACCAAAACAAAATTAAGTTGGACTACACATGAAACAAAAACCAGTTGAACTCCAATTGAACACTAAATGCATCAGGTTCATCAGATCTGATTCTAATTGGTCAAAGCCAACGGGTCATCTGGATCAACCATGATTACAAGGGCAAGTCTGATTAGAAAATATTTGTCCAGCACAGTTTATGCAGGACACCTATTTTAGAATACTCATTTTGTAGATGAACTTAAGGATGGCTTCTTTTGACTTCGGGCACAACTTACTAATCACGCAACATAATTTAGGGTCTTACGTGCATTAGCTCCCAACTTAAATACAAATAAGAGAAATCAAAGAAAGAAACTACAGAATTGACCTCTAACACAAAGTGTTTTTTTTACTTATACTACTGAATTACAGCATCAGATCAGAGAGAGAAACTCTCTCACACACACGTGAACGTGCGAAGAAACTCTCTCTCATGCGCGCACACGCGCACACATATTTGATGAGACCGAAATTTCTCAAAGTTAATATAGAGTATTTCCATAAAAACTATTAGCTATGGAATTGCTAGATTGTTAGCTGTGTAAAAATAGATCAAGAATTTACCACAAGGATACTAAGGAGAGAACCAATCAAGGACATCAATAGACCTGCATCAGAAAAACAACAGATACCAAATGTTAGCTGGTTATGGAAAAATTTACTAGCAACCTGCTGAATAGATGAATAACTAGATGAAGTTTTCAGGTGCTAATGCACACACTGGTCAGAAATTTTCCCAGGGGAAGAGAGATAAAAAGGTCATGCAACAAAAAGAAACAGCTAAGAGAAGGAAGCCCCAACGTGTTATTTATGTGCATGTGCTAGTCCATATAGTTCGTCTTATGTGTTGCTTGATGACGGCAGACTGAAATTTTCCACAAAGAAAAAGACGACAGCCATCTAAGCTTCCTAGTTAATTGAACTATGCACGAGAAGGGATAGCTATAGGACTCATTAATTGGTTAGAAGGAAGTCATACTTATGGCCGTGCAATTTAGTTTGTATCATAACAAGTCCTTCAAAATTCCATAGACTCTAGAAGTGAAAGTAATACTTGATTGAGAAATGATACAGCCTATGGTCAAAATGAGAAATACAATTTCCACCTCGCCCTAATGCTGGTATTTGAGACTGTATAAATGAATAATACTGCATATATGTTATTGTGCATCATATATAGTATATTGCTTAACATGACCCCTTTATTGTACTTCACATAGTATACATATATATTCATATACATACATATGCGTTCAGTGTGATATCCACATCACCATTTTTTCCTATACAACTGTGAGTAGGAGATCACCAGAACTTTTGCATAGTATAAAATTTGGCTTATACTTCAAGAGAATAGGTAAAATTCGACCAACACGTACAATGTGCATATGCCTAACAGAAGCTACACTTAGTATAGGGCATGGAACATGCGCATTTGTTATATTTTGCTCATGGTTACCAGAAAATAATTGACATTACAAGAAGAATACATACCAAAAAATGGCACAAGAAAAGCAACGCATACAGTTGAAATGACAAGAGCAGTTCTTAACATGATAGACAACCAGAGAGTATTAGATGTCCCCATAGGCAGCAGCTCCTCTAAACTCCGGGCTATGGGATTTAATAGTAATGCATATCTATTTTCAGTTTAGGATACAAAAGCTGAAGAGACAATATATGAAAGTGACACAAGTAAGCAAAAACGAGAAGTTCAAGAAAGAGACAGAAGAGAAAAGATAGGAGAATTTGTGGTCACGTTATTTTTCTCCTTCTTTTTCCGGGTGTCTTTTTTTTCTTCTTCTTCTTTTTAATTTTTTTTAATTTTTTTTGGGTGTGGTGGTTCACATTATGAGTTTAAAAAAAAGAAAGGAAAGAAAGAACTTAGATGGTCAAAAGCTTAATGCTTCGGGTCTTCAATGCCAAAGGATACTTGGTGAAAGGATTAATTACCTGACAACAAGGGTAGAAAACATTCAGTAGAATAGAAAGTCCTCATAAAGGAAAATAACTGTAACGATTAGATACTTACCGTGGTCCATAAAGCAAGTTTTGAGGGGAAGGTATGCTTTGGCAAATTCAGTGTTATTTGATTCAATATACTTTCACCAAACATGCGATAACCAATAATTGCAAAACCTCCATATATTGCAGTACACAACGCAAAGCTGTTTCCAAACAGAAAAATTACAACTTTCAGAGCACAGTTGCAAATAAGGAATCCAAATTAAGTAGATTACTTGCTAGCATATTCCGCGACTGCTAGGTTAGCATACCATATAATCAATGCTTTGTTAAATTTTGTTCGATCAGCCATTGATTGGTAGATATTAGGAAACACCGAATGCCCAGAGTAACAAAAACCCCATACCCCTATGGTAAAGGGAATACCATTCCACTTCACTACTGTCCCAGTCTGATTGAAACCTATTCCATTTGTCATACCAACAAGAGTAACAGATAGGAAAACTAAGAAAGTAGCAAGCACACCACCAGCTGCAGGAAAGAAAAAAGCCAAATCAGGCCATCTATCGCACAATTTAATAAAAGTGCAGCATATGTCAAATAATATGATTAATAAAACCTGAAAGATACGAAATGACTCTCAAATCTCGTAACCAGACAGTTGGCAAGACAATCAAAACAGTTAAGATCCCGAAGAAGTGCAAAGAATCAATATGGGTTCCAGCCAAATCAATACCAGCTCCAGGAAACAACTTTGTAAGATTGTCCCCTTCCAATATGATAAACTCCACGCAATATGACTGTAATCAATAATGCATTATGTGAACTAACAAAAGGCTCATAGATCAGCCAACAAATAGATAAGTTTATCCCTTGGGTCAGAGTATGAGCACTACTTACATATAATTCTGTGTACAATACAACCTGGATCATGAAGGAAATTATATTAGACCTTGCTTGAAAGAATGTCTAAAATTATACTAGACTGGTACAAGATTCATTGTGGGAAATAGATCAAGTGCTTAAGCTCATTTCACCAGACTTTTTATGTGATCGGATAAATAAGTCAATTTAAGATGTTGTTTATGACTGTCAACACTTTAAATAAGTCCTCAAGTTTAAGTATCTATGGTCCACGTGAACTTAAAATCAGTAAAAGCACATAGTTTATTATGTGTATTACTATTATACCCGCTAGTTTGCGATGAGTGCCAGCCAACATGAGTTATTGTTGTGTAATTCTCTGTAATAAATCATAATTCATTGTAATTAATTACTGTCCAGTATGCTTAAGCAACAAGAACTCACAGATATGAAAATGCGGCCAAATCTTCCAAATGCAGCTTCTCCGATATCAGGGTAGCTCAAAATACCTTCTTTGCTCTCAAAACAGTATCTCATAAGCACGCCTGTATAACAACAAGTAGCTGCAAAAAGAACCAAGAGTACCAAACTTGACCAGCCAGCCTCTTTAACAGTGAAAGGTGTTGAAAGAAGACCAACCCCTGCCAATACATTGATCCCTGTTTCACAGAAGAAGAAAAGAGAGACAGAAAACAACTTAACTGTTGTCAACTAAAAGATTCATGAGATGCTTCACCATCTATACAAGCACTTTATAGTTTTCACTTCATGGATAACCCAGAGGCTAGCAAACATGAGCAGAATTTGGCCAACCGCAAAAGGCTTCTCTGCTTCATGTCAGAGACAACAGAATTTATAATATGAACCACCAATAAACTTGAGTTACTAATCAGCTATCTTGTCTCTTTGTTATGGTCCTGCACTTATGTGACAGGGCAAATTGATCGTGCTCGTATAGATTGTTATTGCAGTTACAATTGCTATTTCACGGGAAGGTGGCCTTACCATTGAAAACAGTCTGAGTGACACTACAACCATGAGGGATATACGCTTCTCCCGTATATTGTGAATGTAAAGATATTGACCCACTTGCTAGTGAAGTTTGAGGCTTCCGCAAGTTTCTACCAGATTCTTGCTTCTCAAATATGCTATCGAAAAGAAGAGGCGATTTCAGGTTTAGATCTTGCCCACTTTCCATGCAGACATCAAGACCAGATCTTGATCGAAGACTTGGTGTACGTCCAAGGAACCCAAAACTTGGTGATGCAGCAATAGTGTATGAATCAGTGGTTTCCCTATAGAAAAAAGAAAGAAAAGAAGATGCATTACGTGGGGACTCTAGAAGCCATAATCAAGACAAGCTTATCGAGTGTCTATACAATGTAATCAACAATATTTCATGCAAAAATCCTGAGAAATCTGATATACATGAAAATATTCATATAGCTGATGAGAACATAAAGGAATCGGGCAGAAACGTAGATTAGTTCAAACATGACTGACAATGTTATTACACATTAAAACAACAAGATAGCTAAATCACTAACTTCTAGCCATCGTGTGCAATTCAGGTTCCATGTGCATAACAGTCAGGTACACAGATAACTTCATAAAGTAGATTAGAATACATAAAATTTTCCATATATGAAAGAAAAAAGTTTTACAGCTCGAAAAACATTATTATACCAGAGCTAGAACAGACAAATCCACAAGTGATCAAGTATCACCCAACAAGTTTTAAAGCCTACAATTACATCGGTCTGTCATGGATCCTCCATTACCTTTCTGATTATGTTAAGAGGTGATATGAGAGCTTAAGATTTTGTAGCAACTTCTACATAAAATATATTTATGATTGAGAAGTTTATGGCACTGCTAAGAGAATATCATAAATCTGCAGAAATAGATCAACTTCTTCAATAACTCCCACCATAAGCATGTTTCATATCCAATCATGATGCAAAATGATCAAAAAAAGGTTTTTTCAATATTAGTTCCCTGTTCCTTTAATCTTTAATATTTCGAAATTAGCCCCTTCAATCATTAATGAACTTGCTCTTAGATCCGCCAGTTCCTATAAGTCGTTTTAAATTAATCCATCCAATCAAGATAAAACAATCGGAAGACACAATAGCAATTTAATGATTTGAGGGGCTACTTTCAATATATTAAAGATTTAAGAGACAAATAAAGTATTACATTTTACATGTAGAACTCACGAGTATCATCTCCAATGGTATTTCATTCCTTTATAAATGAAATAAAGTATCATTGGCTCCAATGGTATAACTATAGCACCCTCTATATTAAGAGGGTGCTATAGTAACCCTCTATATTTGAAGGGTTTAGGCTTATATAGAGGGATCCCTCTAAAATATTATTCATATATTTTAATTCCAATTTTGCCTTCCCATCTCATTTATAAATTTTCATAAATACCAATTGTATCCTTGAATATAATTAAACTAATTATTTAACTTAATATAATTTTAAATTTACTCATCCATTTTAAATAAAAATTATATCATTGAAATTGTCTTGTCGAAACTCGAAACCTTCAAAATGAGACTAATATTTAATACTTTTAATATTAATTTTAAATTTATCATTAGCAAAAATAACGGTGATTTTCAATTTGATAGTTCAACTCATGTTTTAGGAGGAACTGGATATTAGGGTCCGTCAGGGTCTGTCAGGGTATTAGTACGGCACCGGTAGCTATGAAAATGACCTACCGGAATTTTAGATTGTTGTTACCGTATTTTACTTATATAATGTAATTTCTGCATTTCTAAATGTAGTTCTTTTGTGGCGGGTTATATAGATCCCCACGTATTTATTTTATTAACGAATATTTTTATTTTGTTATATTAAAATAAACTAATTTAAAAATGACTCTAAAAATATTCAATATTAATCTCATTTAAAATGTTTCGGCGAGACGGGTCTAAAGGTATAATTTTTGTACAAAAAATGATAAGTTTTAATTATTTTATTTACATCATTAGTTTGTTAATGATAGATTAATTCAAATAAATATAGAAGGCACCTTTGGAGCACAACTTTTACAAACCCTCTATATTTGAGGAATCTTAAAGAATATTCTCTTCAAACCTTCTAAATATAGAGTATACCATTGGAGATGCTCTAACAAACTTCTAAACCATAATTTAGAGTATGGAGTTATGTTACCAGGATCCAGACTATATGCTTTCTTGTTCAAACGCAAATAAAGTTAGCGTTAAAAAAGTAGACCGTTTTATTATACACAATCCTTTCAAAGTTACGCAATTTTCAGGTTCAATTTGTTCAAGAACTCAACCAAAGCTTCACTATCTCTCTTATCCCTATAAAATAATAGCCAAGGAATAAAACAACATCGCTCCCCCAATCAACACAAAGAATCAAATGGACCCCCTCCCCATAATCCATCACCTAATCAAGTAAAAAATCTCCCCTTAGTTTGTACAATTACCGCCTACATCTAGTCAAAGGAGTCAACGATGTAGATTTTACTAAAATTAGCAAAATGCTAGTCCAAAAAAAAAAGGGCGCGCTTACATGTAACTCTGCGGCCATTGCCGAGACTGAAACCGCTGCAGGCTCTCATGATCCGCTGCATCTTCGTCTTCATCGCCGCTAACTCTGCTGTCTTCTTCAACATCGTTATCGCTGCCGTCGCTCAAGTACATCTCTCCATCTCGATCTGCCATTGGGAAGGGGGGAAAACCCTAGATAGTAGTACTGAAATTGGGCGAAATGTACGGGTTTTTTTAGCTTAAAAAGGGAATTTTTATGATTTGGAAGCCGAGAGGTTTCGAGAATGATTGGGAGGGTTAACAGGTGTATGTCTGTTCTTGTCTTATTTGTCGAAGACGGGGGGAAGTCACCGTGTCACGTGATTTGTAGCGGAAGTGCATGCGCATCACATTCTTCGATGGAAAAATCTCTCTTTGGATACAGTGCTTTCCATTTTTGTGGCGCCGGATGATCGAGGATAAGTCTTGATGCCGATGAGAAACTGGGCCAGGGTGATGGCCCGGATTTATTCCAGACCCGCTCGGAGTTTTGGACCAAAGCGAGGACGATCCAACAAAACATTTGTTTGATGGACTAGTTTGGCAACTTTGTTCAGATTAGCAGAGTTTAACTTGCATTAGGGGTTAAAAGTATTACTCGAGTAAAATTAGGCTAACTCTAAACTTGATTTTTTTCAGTTTAAATTTGGGCACTTAAAATAAATTTTATCTAACAGGCTAACTAATTTAGTCCAACTTATTAACCTATATTAAATAATAGGTTAATTAACTTGACTTTCTCATTAATTCTAATCCATAAACCTTTACTAAGCATTCCATGAATATGCTGAAGACAACGGATCTATTTACCATCTTAGGTTGCAATCGCCCTTGAGAATTTCATAGTTACATTCTAAAGTTTCTCAAATTTTAATGTGTCTCCCTATTTATGTTTAAATTTGCACACTAACGACTCACTACTTGCTTATATTACCAAGAATTAGTAGTGTGTTTGAGCATATTTGCATTCAATAAGCCATTATATTTGATTTTAGCCCATACTGACATAAGCAATAATTATACTTTTATTTTATGTAAAGAGATACTTGTCATCCGTCCCTTGAGAAATTTTTTTTTGCATCTACCACTGTTGGTCATAGAAAACTAGAGGGTTTTTAATTGCTTCCCATCTTTTTTCATTGACATTTACTTTTAAAAACTAATATTAGATAAGATCCTTCTGGATGAATTGTTCAACAAAAATTAATATGTTTTATAGTCTTTAGTTAATCATGTCCGAAATATTTTTGCTACTATATTAGTTTTGTCACTCTTATACTAATTTTGCATTGAAACTGTTCATGCGAGAGGCATTTCTTTATAACTAATTAATGTTCTTGAACTTTAAACTTCTAATCAATCATCAAATTAGAATCTCCAACACTATATGTCTTAAAAACCCTAATTATTAGAGTGTCCTTTTAAATTCATGGCTAGTGTAATTTGAACCTAATGTCTCTGATATTATCTTAAAGTCCCTAACCATGACATCAAAACTTTAAATTGTTGTGAGAGTTGAGAGTTATATTTTTAAGTTCTTAAAGTATGAACGATTGCATCCTTTTCATTTGAAATTCTACATGATCTGTCGATACGAGTGTCGATGTTATCTAAGCGCTCATTGTATGCAATTTACATTACCATTCTCATCTTTTAATGTATTTCGATTCTCGTGTTTAAATGAGTGCATCCTTAGAAAAGTATTTTCTCAAAGAAAAGAAAACCTTTCTTAGGAAAGTTGAGATAGATCTAATTTTGAGTCATATGATAATTAATTATCCAAAACCTCTTCAAGAGGTACATTTCTTTCATCATCAATAAAATTATGATCACATCTCATTTCTTTTTTCCTTATCCTCGAGCCCTTTACTCATGTTCACTTTAGGGTCCCCAAAAATCTGATGTGTGTATTATCTCCTTATAAACATGTCCATATTGTGTGACAAGCCAACCCGGTCACCTTCTATTTTTTCTCGCTCTTTCATATATGATCACTAATGTTATTTCCAACAATTTGATTATCCTGAGTTTCAAGTGGAGTAGTTTATTGCCAAATGTAAATTAGGTTTGTAACTAAAACTAGCTCCATGTTCTTTCTCCTTGATCCTCTCTAAATTTTCAATAACTTTTTTGCACCATAAAATCACCTCACCCATGTTTACATGATTTTGTATTAGACAAATTTTTAAAATAGACCCCATTAGGAATTTATTTTTTTTAAATGACTCATTTGAAATATATTAGCCATTTAGCTGAAACTGGGTCGAAAATGGCGAAAAAACTTTAAAAACTTCACGGGATTTAAAATCCCGTGAAGTTTAACGATGAATTAGAGCATGGATTAGATGGATAGAAAGCCATATCTTCACAGGATTTGAAATCCCGTGAAGTTTCACCTTCACAGGATTTTAAGTCATGTGAAGTTGCATGCGCCAACCCCAGAGACCGATAGCTCGTGAAGTTTCACATTCATGGGATTTCAAGTCCTGTGAAGTTATAGGTGCCAACCCCAGAGACCGATAGCTCTTTGGCGAAGGTGCCTGCAACTTCACGGGATTTGAAATCTCATGGAGTTGCGATAGGCCCACACAACGATTGGTATTTAACTCTCCCCTCTCACATGATCTCATTTCACGTCCCCACTGCCCCTGTCTGTCTTCGCTCCCGCAGCTGCTACCGCTCGTTGGATATCAAATATAGGGCATCGAAAAATTTTCGATAAAATCTTACCTTTTTGTTTTTTCTCCTTAAGTTTTTACATATTCTCACTATTTGATTCTAATAACTTGTTTAATTTTAGATTTTGGAATAATTTTTAAAATATTTATGAATTTTGTGATAAAAAAGTAAAGAAAGTATGAAGTTGGAGGGGAAATTAGGGGAAATTGTAAAGTGATTTTTCAAACTTTAAAAGTGAGTATTGTTTAAATTATTTAAATTATGCAATCATAAAAATATAAAGATTTGACATTTTTGGTAAAAATTATGGATGTGTAAAATCGATATTAGAGGATTTAATTGTAAATAATCTTTTTTGTGTTTTTCATGTAATATTGATATTGGAATTTTTTTGCTCTTCGGAGGTAACAATGAACAATCGAATTATAATTTTTTATTCATATGATAAGAAGATCAACTATCTTGAGAATAATATATATGTATATGAAGGAGGTGTGATGAAACTGTTGTTTATATCCAAGTCATGTACTTTCGATGGATTGGGTAATGACTTACACAAACTTACATTAACCAATCCACGTGAGTATCACCTCAACGTGATTTGTAATTATCCTGTTACAGGTAATAGAACAAGCGGTATTCAAATCTTAAGTGACTATGATATGGGTTCATTAGAATATTGCATGAGAAGCGTTCAGTGGAATTATTCATTGAAAAATGTCACAGAAATTTGAGCAAATCGATGAATCACGACAAAGTATACGCTTGCATGTTGGAAGACCTTGAAGTTGACTCCACCGGATTTTTGTCTCCGTAAAAGGATATGGGATGAACACAATCACAATACATGAGCGGTCGTTCACTTGTGGGTACTTCAAATACCTTTGATGATAACACTCCCCATCAAGATATAATGCCTTCCACGGAAGTGACGATAGAAGATGATAATGTAAGTGTCGAATCCAATGATAACAATGAAGAGGATGGCTTACAAATTAATAGCATGACGTGTTTGATAGATCATAATGAAGGGGGCAACCAATATATTGACCAATGTTATTCTAACAATGAGTATGCCGTATTAGAGGATCTGTTGCCCGATGAACTTCATGGAGAAGAATAGATTAATGACTCTACAATGGAAAGTATTCCTATTGTCACTAATTTAAATGATGATACACAAGATGAGGACTTCTCATTCAGAAAGAGTGATCTATTTGAAAGTAAGGAGAAATTGATTCATGCACTTCGTTTGTGGAGCATAAAAAATATCAAGTTTAGGCAGACGAAAAGTAATGCAACAAGCTATAATATAGTTTGTTTTTACCACAAAGATGGTAAGGAAGAAGATAGTGATGGGCATCATGAAGGAAATACAAAATGTCCTTAGAATATTAATTCACGCTTGGGGGTAAGAGTAGGCGGGCAATTTAAAATAACACACTAAAACAAACTTTACACATGTAACAATCCTTGATTAGAGATGAATCATAAACACTCGTCCGCCTCTTTTATATATCGATTGATTATGCCTAAATAAATAATAAGAGAAAATCTTGATCAAGGCCAAAAGATATTCATATTTTAGTGCATAAAGCGACCAACTTGGATGTATCATATAACAAGTGTTGAAATGTTCGAAGGAAGGTGATGATAAAAATATTCGGAGATTGGGACAAATCTTAAGAGATCTTACCACATTATCTTGAAACACTTAAAAAATCCGAGGACAGTGTACGAATTATCATTGGATCTTGTTGATGGCAGAGATAGACGATTCACATGGGTATTTTAGGTATTCTGGGCTTTGCATTGAGGGATTCAGATATTATCGTCCTATTCTTAGCATTGACGGCACCCACTTGTACAGTAAATATAAAGATATTTTTATAATAAATATAAAGATATTTTGCTTGTTGCAACTGGATTAGACACACATGGTGGTTTATTTCCTTTGGCATTTATAGTGATTGATGTTGAAAACATGGAAAATTGGGCATGATTTTTTGCATACATTAGATATCATATCCCTAGTGTGTGAACGCAGTCAATTACATTCATATCTAATAGGATGAAATGAATTCTAATAGCAATCCAATGATATTTTCCGTCACCACATCAACGTTGCTATTGCTTGTGACATATTAGGGATAACTTCAAGAGGAAACATGAACAAGTGCATCTTCAAGATCTTCTTTGGCAAGCTGGATGTGCAATGAAAATTTTAGTTTATGAACAACTACGGGAGAAGATTAAGTCCATTTTACAAGTTGCACATGATTGGATCGAGGCTAGTTTGGATCCGAATAATGTCGATAGGTGGGCCTTATGTGAAGATGGTGGGAAACAGTTTACTATGATGACCACTAACGCTTCTGAGAGTTTCAATGGTGTGCTTAGGAGAGCACGCGGTATGCCAATACAGCCATTAGATGTAAAATTCTTCTTCAGAGTTAATAAATTTTTCCTCAGATGACGCACACTTAGAGCAAATATTCCATCAGAGTTGATGTCAAAAGTTGAAGGCATATTAGCGGATCGGATTGTGCAGGCTCGATCATTTCGTGTCATTAGATACAATTTTAATGTATGAGAGGTCATTGAGGGAATACCACATAGAGAAAACTGCTCTTACAAAGTTAATATGCTAGTGGATCAAACTTATACATACACTTGCAATATACCGCAATTACAATGGCTTCATTGTTCA